ATTTTTTTTTATATGTTGTACAGCCATAAACAAGAAGCCGATGACATTGTACGAGTGGCAAAAACAGCCAATGACACATCAACTGAGGCGTATAATCTGCTCTTGAAGACACTGGCAGGAGAAAATCAAACAGCATTTGAAATTGAAGAGCTTAATAGAAAGTGAGTGTAGTTTAAATGTGGCTTATAGCCCTTCAGTTGTTCTTGTAAATAACACCAGTTCAATGAAAAATTAAATAATGGCGGGTTCAGGGCATGCGTTCATGCAGTGGGATTTCTGTTGGTAATGATGCTTTTGAAATGGTACTGTAATTAAGCGGGGGATATAGAGCCAAAAAGATTTTATTTGATCCAATTACTGTAACTGCAGAGAAAGGTAACAAGACCAGCCATCATACTTAAAATTCTGCATAAATGAAAACGGAAAAGAAAAAACAGTCATCACATAGAGAAAATATACCTGAGCTACAAATACTTAAAAGGTGTCTGAAATAAAGTATCAGGTAAACCATATGTTGCAAATAGAAGTGATGAGACGAAACATAGATTCCCACGACGTTAGTGTTAAATAGTAGCATTTTAATCTAGCATTTTATTTGTAGTTTTGGAAATCCTGTCACAGTGATTTAAACGAGAATGGATCTGGTTAATATTAAGATGCCAAAAGCAACTGAGTTGTTTTTTTTTTTTCTTTTTCCATTAAATCACATCTCTTGTTCGGTAGGTATGAACAAGCAAAGAACATCTCACAGGATCTGGAGAAGCAAGCTGCCCAGGTGCATGAGGAGGCCAAAAGAGCTGGTGACAAAGCTGTGGAGATCTATGCCAGCGTTGCTCAGCTGACGCCTGTGGACTCGGAAGCCCTGGAGGTACGGGGCCGACGGCCTGTATGCACAGGGCTTCGCTTGTCACTGCCATCCCCCATCCACAGCCTCCGCCCTCACCCCCCAAGCGCACACACACCCCTCACAGTCGGGGCAAGAGCTATTCTGATCACCCTGCCCCTGTCACCGGGACCAATCTCCGCTCTCCTCCAGCTGACTCACTGGCGATGTTGAGTTCTGTTTTAGCTACGTTAATAGAACTCACTGGGGTAAAGAATCTCGTGATTATAAACACTAAATAGCAGAGACTGCTTTAGTGATAGGAGTAGTCACTCCTAAATCTTTAATATCAAACCAAGTTATAGTGTGTGCGGATTAGTTAAAGCAGAGTACAGCCAGACGGTTACTGCAGGCACTGCCTGCTTGAGAATGAGAGAGATGTGAAAGAGAGTGGTTTCAATGCAAGACCTGCATCAGGATGCTCTGGGGCAGCTCAACTGTTTTGGGATCGGTAGTATTTGATTTCACCTGTGCTCTAATCATGCCTCTTCATTTCAGGCTCTGTATAAATGGCGTATTTTTTGCATTAAACTTGAAACATTTTGTAAGTCGCTTTGTACATCTAAGGCATTGACTTGATTTTTACCATAAAGGTTTAGGTCTCTTCAGGCATGTACATACTGTGCAATTCCACATATAGGCAATTTGAAAATAGGCAAACTAATCTATGATGATAAAAATGGCAGCCGCATTGTTTGAAAGATGGATGTGGAAATTAAGATACAAGGGAACTTCCCGGGGTGGATGTATTCTGTATCTTGATTGGGGCGTTAGTTACAGGTAAATATATTTATCCAGACTCATCAAACTAAGCATTATGCATGTCACTGTGTAAAGTATACCTCATTTTTTAAAATACGGTCGATAATATCTTAACTCGTGCTGTTCTTTTAAAACTATCTATTAAGTATTATAGAGTTACTAAGGCTACTTTTCCACCAGTTTAATTGTTTTGTCTAAAATTTAGTGATCTTACTTGCTTTTCACAGAATGAGGCAAATAAAATAAAGAAGGAGGCTGAGGATCTCGAGCACCTGATTGACCAGAAGCTGAAGGATTATGAGGACCTCAGAGAGGACATGAGAGGGAAGGAACTCGAAGTAAAGAACCTTCTGGAGAAAGGAAAGACCGAGCAGCAGGTTGGTTTGATTCACAGACTGCTTCACTTCTCGGGGCAGAGTTTGACACGGCCCAGGCGTAAGCTGTGTCATCGCAGTCGGCAGAGCAGGGCCTTGTGCGGACGCCCAGCCTGAGCCTGCTGGGTGCTGACCAGCCTCAGGGGGGTACCGGAGGCGCCTGGTCTGTGAGGAGAGCGGGCCTTCACCGTGGAGGGCTGTCCCCTCACCTGCCACGTGTTTGCAGACTGCCGACCAGCTCCTAGCCCGCGCCGATGCTGCCAAGGCTCTTGCGGAAGAAGCTGCCAAAAAGGGACGAAACACCTTACAAGAGGCCAATGACATCCTCAACAACCTGAAAGGTACGAGAGGGTCAGGTAACGGGGTGACGCGGCATGCCGCCTCCACAAGGGCGAGTGCCTGCTTTCTTTTCTTTTTTTTTTTTTTTTTATGAGACTCTCTGAACATCCACAGAATGAAAGATAACATAGTCGTCCCCCCTTGTCTGTGGGGGATACTTTCCAGGACCCCCAGTGAACGCCTGAAACCATGCGTAGTACCAAACCCTAGATATGCCATGTTTTTTTCCTGTACATTCCTGTGATAAAGTTAACTTATAAGTTAGGCACAGTAAGAGATTAACAACAATAACTCATAATAAAATAGAATGATTATAACAATATACTGTGATAAAAGGAATGGAATATGGTCTCTCAAAATATCTTATCGTGTTGTGCATCCAGTGTGGGTGCACTGGACGAAGGGACGATCCCCCAGTGGGGACGGAGCGGGGACAGTGCAAGCTTTCATCACACTGCTCTGAATGGCGCGCACTTTAAAACTTATGAATTGTTCGTTTCTGGAAATTCCCATTTAGTATTTTCAGACCATGGTAAACTGGATCAAACTGCAGAAAGGGAAACCATGGATAAGGGGAGAAGATTGTGGTGTAATAAATTCCATATCAAACGGATTCCACATTTAAGATTTTTACTACACTTACTTCAGCCCCCAGTGCCTACCTTACTCTTCTTATGAAGTATTGCAAAGAAAAATCCCAGAGCGCATGTCATCTTACCCCTGCATACCTCATTACGAAAACTGAAAAAAAAGGGCGGGGCATGTTCTTCTGTTAGGATAACTTACGTAATCAAAATATGCCTGTTTCGCAGATTTATGTTGGTAAATGGAGATGATCTTTAATTTTCTTCTGCATCTCAATCTTTCTGTTTTCTTTCCTCATCCAGATTAAAAAAAAAAAGAAATGTGCTCAATTCACTGTTTAGTTTTGGACTCACCTCTGATAAAATGCCATAGGTTCTATAAATATGGGAGCTTTGTAAAATAATGGTCGAATGTAGGGTCCTGGTGTCAGTGGCATCGAGCTAGAATCCACCCCTTACTGTGACTCCTTGGAGGAATTATCTACCTCTAGAATCCTCAACTTTCTCACATATAAAAGTGATAACAATGCCTGCCTGCATCACGGCCACATACAACTCCCACCTCAGTGCCTAACCTGTAGTGAACACTAAGGAAACTGCACCTTTTAAGATTGGTTGAGCTGGCAGTGACGTCATACTCAGCACTCTGCATGAAAATGAAGTTTTCAAGTAACTTTTCTGCTTTCCAGAAATGAATGTTCCTTCCGTCTAGAACTCTGTGCTCCGTTCTTCCCAGACGTCAGTCCATGCTGTTTGTTATTCCTCCCCACCACCCCACCGCCCCGACTTTAACAAAACTCATTAAACAAAATCCGGTCGCAGCCTCTGCCAGGCTCCCTTCTGGCTCATCGAGAGCTTCGTTCAAACGCCTTCTTCCCCCCAACTCGTTCCAGACTTCGACAGGCGAGTGAACGATAACAAGACCGCGGCCGAGGAGGCGCTAAAGAGGATTCCCGCCATCAACCGGACCATCGCGGAAGCCAACGAGAAGACGACAGAAGCGCGGCTGGCGCTGGGCAATGCGGCCGCGGACGCCACCGAGGCCCAGGCCAAGGCCCACGAGGCCGAGAGGATCGCCAGCGCCGTCCAGAAGGTGCGCCCTTCCCCCTTCCCGCGCTGCTCTCGTCTGTTTCCAGCTTCTGTCCAGACCCCCGAAAGCCCTCACAAAGCTCTCTCTCTCGACTCAAGTCAAATCATTCTAAACCGTCCTTGTCGTTTACCTTTTCTCCCGCCATTAGAGTAGGAACCACGTCGATGGAGGAGGGAGACTCTTCGAAAGGGTCTTTGACGCTAAAAGGTCTACATCTCAGTGGCAGGGTCTGAGTGGTGAGGGGGTGGACGGCTTCGGGGACCCGTAGAGCCCCCTCCCACACTTTTTCTAAATTAACAGAGTTCTTTGACCTGGACAGTTGACTTTTTTTTTTTCCCAGTCGTCTATATAGTGCCAAGTCAGTACAACTCTCAAGCCGCTCATTCAGGCATATTGCCGTGTGTGGGATTTCTGAAGCTGCCACTACTGGATTCTGTCTACTCGTTGTAAAGAATACTTCCTTTAGGCTGGCTTTTTCCGACTTACAGGTCAACCCGCATCTTTTACTGAAAGGAGAGATTGGAGTTGATTCTAAAATTTGAGAATCACACACATTTTGTAGTTTCTTTAGAACAGTCACTTTTGGGTTAACCGTATTGTATAAAACACTCATCATATTTCAGGATTATGGTCTTTTTGTACATTAGGAGGAGCTGCCAAGTAGAACAAGGCCAACTTTGAATTCAAAATTTATGCAAGTGAAAGAGTCTAATCGATATGATGTGGAAAGTGCATTACCATTTAAGTGTTTAGCATTTGCTAGCTATGTGACCTCAACTAAAAATGGCAATAATAGAACAGGAAATTTTAAGGATTAAATAAGAGGAGACAAAAATAAATGATAACGTAAGTCAACAAACAGTATAAATTACTGCCCTGTTCTTTGTGGATTGTATTTTTGAGCCATTTTATAGATTAAGGAGTGGGAACGTGCTTTAGAAAAAGGAACGCTTTTTTCATTAGCCATCATTTATTTCGTGCCTAGAATGCTACCAGCACCAAGGCAGAAGCCGAAAGGACTTTTGCAGAAGTTACAGACCTGGATAATGAGGTGAACAATATGCTGAAACAACTGCAGGAAGCAGAAAAGGAGCTGAAGAAAAAACAAGACGATGCTGACCAGGACATGATGATGGCCGGGATGGTAGGCCACTTTGTCGTCTTTGCTCCTGGGCAGAAAGTGAAGGGTATTTCATAAGAGTCTCTTTCATAGCGACTTCTGTTTTTCATTGTGTTTCCTAGTGAAGAATTGGGTTAGTAACTTACATAGAAAACAAAGAATTTGGGTCTTCTGCCAGGTTGTTGCACAATTGTCCTGTCCCAAAGCTACTCTCAGTGAAAAGCAAAACATCGTTTTGCACATTCGAGGTTTTAGGATTTTTAAAACCGCGCATTCATATTTTCGAACGGATAACTCGTAGATGGTACAGAATCAGAAAGGAACACGGAGGGATGCAACGAAAAGTTCATGTCCTTCCTACTCTTGTTCTCTTAGCAACTTGCTCCTGAGAGGCAGAACCCTTTCTTGTGTAAAAGGACATTTTTGAAGCTGACAAAACAGACCAAACTCACATCCAATTTAATTTTTCACCTTTGATGGCGATGTGTTATACATAACACCTTTTGTAACAAAATTGACCTGCGAATGCATGGCCCGGCAAAGAACTGGGGTCCATTTTCCTATTTTATGCTACGTTTTGCTTTCGAAATACTTTAGTGGAGTCACGATGGAAATATTCCTTTCCAGCTGCATCTGATTACAAGCACGGTAATGATGAACATGAACTCGTTTAGTTGTGCACTTTCACTGCAAGGAGAGGACGCTTCTACTCTCGCTAAAGACAGGCCCTTCACTGTGGGTCATTTTGGCCTTGGGATAGACAGGGAAAGTACTAAGCCAGTGAATCTGGGTAAAGAAGACTGTAGGGAATTGATTACAGGAAGCATCCCACTGCAGACACTTTATTTTATTATGCTATTTTTTTGTTTTTGATTTAAAGTGTCCTCATTTTCAGTACCAAGGTATGGCTGACATGGTTATAAAAACATTAGATTCAGAGCCTGTTGAAAGAAAGAGAAGGATACGTTCTTTTTAAGCTTCAAAAAAAAAAGAGTATGGACTCAAGTCAAAGGATGGGAAAAAGATTGATTTTTTGTTGTTGTCGTTCATTTTGGTAAATAACTTCTAAGGCGCGCAAAGCACTGTCACATACATTATCCCATTTCTGTTTATATCAATCCTGAAAGGCCAGCATTGGGCTAGTATTGTTTTGAGTCTGTCACTGGTTCTTTTAACCAGAGTAGTGAGGGCTCATGGTTGTTCCTGGCAGAGGGGGCAGCAGGTTAAATGCAGTGGCTTTGCTCCCGGAGGGGCAAACCTAACTGCCCTCCCCTCCCCTCGTACCAGGCGGCGAAGCCTGTGAAGTCTCCATAGGAACGCCTGTGGTCTGAACAGAGATTAATCAATAGTTTGTGCAGGGTTTTATTCCCTTGCCTTTTTATTTTTTTCCTTTATAAAATTTTCACATGGTTTCTATCCAACAATTTTACATTGTCTTGACCCCAAAACTAGGAAAAACAATTATGTAGCAGGGAGCTCAGATCCACTCAGTCGTATCCTGACTAGATTTATTTGTAAGAGCATCTGTTCTCTGATATTTAGACACTTCCCCTTCTTGGTCATTTCCTATGACTCATGCACAAGTGTATTTATTCAGGTTTCATGGAATTTTCCCAAATATATTTACCTTTGTTGATGTAAATTGTGTCACCCCGGAGTGTGTATGAGTGTGTGAGTGTGTGAATATATGTGTGAGTGTGTGGGGGTGAGTGTGTGTGTGTGAGTGTGAGTGAGTGTGGGTGAGAGTGTGTGTGTGGTTACAGGTCAGGAAGAGGGAGTTATAGAGGAGCATCACTTGATTAAGTTTTCTGAAAATAGGACATTTCTAATAAGTCCCTAAGAATATCCTGAAGAACATGTTTTGGACCTAAAATGTAGTTTTTATGCTCATTCTTTAAAAAATAACTTGTTTTTTCTTGATGGATTTTATTATGAATATTCCTCAATGTATTCCCAAATGAGAAAGTGAGAGAAGGAGATAATATTGATCTTTGAAATACAAATATAGTCACTGTAGGCGTACTGACCGCCTGTTCATGATTATTTTATGAATTAAAAATAGGGACATCTTCAGTGTGAAGATATGAACCCCCCCCCCAAAAAAAAAAGAAGAAAGAAAGAAAAAGAAACCTGCAGTGAGAGATTATAGTTTCATGAGTTAGGAAAGCGGAAAGCATCTGAAAATGAGATTTGTGGGCTCATTGGGGAAGAAATATTTTAAGAAGATGAAAACATACCCTCAGGACTGTCTGTGTCTCGTATCTGCGTCTCCATGCAGGCTTCGCAGGCTGCTCAGGAAGCTGAGATCAATGCCAGAAAGGCCAAGAACTCTGTCACCAGCCTCCTCAGCCTGATCAACGACCTCTTGGAGCAGCTGGGTGAGTACCTGAGTACCCACGGTCATTTTTGGCGACCTCTGGATTCTTCGTACTTTGATATCGTTGATTCAAAAGCAGATATTACATATAGTGTGAATATTGTGTGAACCAAATCATGACTTAAGGTTGAATTAATTCAACAAATGCTTACTATGTCCTTCCGTGGAATCTGACTGTGGTCCGAGGACTTAAAAAATTTTGAAGAAGCGCTGTGCGCTCAGGAGGCTCATTTATGGTAAAGGTTGACTGAACAGTGATCATGCTTAGCTCATCCTGCTGGCAGGGTGTCTTTAAAGGTTTTAAAGTGAAGGATTTCAGCGATAGCGTAAAACACTACTTTCGACTGGTCCTGACTTCACTGCCTGGAATTCTCTTTATTTGCTAATTTAAAGGATAATCTGATGAGATGACAGTTTTCATGCCAAAAGAGAGAAAAGGCTTGATTTTTCCAGGAAATAGAAGCATATTGACTGGCTCTTTTAATCCCATTTGCTAGGGAGCAGGCTTCGTTACAAGGCAGATGTACTTTTGTCACCGATGTTTATTATAAAGAAATAAGACTCTAGACCGTACAGCTTTTCAGCAAAGCATTCTGTTTTAATTTCTTAGCTTTTAAAGTTTAACCCTTGTTTTGCGGGTTTTTCGTTGAGAGGGGGGTCTATTTTTTTTTTTAATCTGTCTCAAATGTCAAGAATAATAGATTCTGTGCCAGCAGACGGATTCTTAAATGAAAGTGAGCTGGAAGAGGTAGATTTTTGTGGCAGAAAGAGCTGGATTTTAAAGTTGGTCAGACGTGGGTTGGAATCTTTGCTTCGTTGCCTATAAACTGTGCAAACTTGAGCAAATCGATTACCATCCGAGAATCACTGATGTAAAATGGTCTTGTGGGAATTTAATCAAGTACAGGATGCATAAAATGCTGATTGTCGGGCGGCTGTCTCCTTTCATTCATAGTGGAAGGAATTCTTTTCCAAGAACCTTTCTTTTTCTTGCTAATTTTAAAGTGAAACTTTTCTGAAATCATTTCAGCATCTCAACCAAGGCCATTTTCCACAGGAGGGCTCCTAGTCACGTCTGACTCCCGAGAGCAGGCCCTGAGTCCCCGAGGAGCCCCGATTTCCCCGAAATCTAAGTGTCGAGGGCTCAGGGCTCTAACTTAAAGATGCCCGTGTACATTTCGGTGGCACACAGATTACCCATGTGGACGTGAACGAGGCATCGAATGTTACTAGACCTTCCGAACCACAAGTGAGCCCTAAGGGCTGGAGCACGGTAGCTGTGTATTTAGGAAATATTTTACAAAACCATTTTCTCGGGAAAAAAAAACAAGCACGCATCCAGCCCAGCGTTCATTCTGTGCTCTCACCCACCCCTGCTGGGCTCGGTCAGCATCGGTACTTGGGTTGCAGGGTTCATGCCCACACGAGGGATCCGAAGTCACGTTCGCATAGTGGCGGCTGCGGGGTGCCGTTCGTAAAAAGCTAGTGGAGGTACCTGTGGAGCGAAGTTACGGTTCTTACTGAATGTGTCTCTTCCCTTCTGTCCTTTCTGGCTCTACAGGGCAGCTGGACACAGTGGACCTGAATAAGCTAAACGAGATCGAAGGCACCCTGAACAAAGCCAAAGATGAAATGAAAGTCAGTGACCTAGACAGGAAAGTGTCCGACCTGGAGAATGAAGCCAAGAAGCAAGAGGCCGCCATCATGGACTACAACAGAGACATCGAGGAGATCATGAAGGACATCCGCAACCTGGAAGACATCAGGAAGACCTTGCCGTCCGGCTGCTTCAACACCCCGTCCATCGAAAAGCCCTAGCGTCTCCCCCCGGGGCTGGAAGGCAGCGCTCCCCGCGCGGGGAGGCGTCCGAGGCCACAGAGTGCCTTAACACAAAGATGACGTTCTTCAGACCCCCCACTCCTCTGCTGCTCTCCACCGCTGTCCTCCTGAACCAGCAAAAGTCACAAAGTTTAAAGAGAAGCAAATTAAACATCGCGAATCAGGAACAAAGGGTTTTATCCAATAAAGTCTCTCTTCCACTTATGGCTCCCTCACCCACACTGTCCCTTCTGAGTTGCGTCAGGACGTGGCATCCTACATTACTGTACGGTGGCATAAGCACTTCGTGGGAACCGTTGCGTGCCAGGCCTGGGCAGGTAGCCCTCCCCTTGTCCCCGACACCGGCAGAACCTCCTCAGTCTCAGCACTCTTGTTTCTATGAAGGAAAAGTTTGGCTACTCATAGTAGCGTTGTGATGGCCAGTATATCCAGTCTATAGATAAAGAACATGCATCTACACCTCCTCCTTTTTAAGCAAAAGGGACTAAACATCCTGTGCCAAAGGTATTAGTCCTTTAGAATGTCGAGAGCCATCACCAGTTGTTCTAGCTGTTTCGGGTAGAGGACTCTGAGCCATCCACGGGGAAGGATGCAATTATTTATGACAGTCTCCAGGAGAATGAGACTGCAGAAGGAGGCTGAATATCTTCTCATATGTTAATAACCGACTAGGAAGATAAACTTTTGTTCAGATCTTTGGGCAGCTGATAATTTAAATCTGGATGGGCAGCTTGTACTCGCCATAGACGTCTTTTCGATATTCCTATAAATGGAATTTATACAGAAGAAATAGGGATATGATAACCACTAAAGTTTTCTTTTTCTCCAAATCCAACTAACTCGTAGAGCTTTTTTAGTACGATAGTATGGGAACGAGTGTTGTTATCTGGCAGAGAGCAGTTGGTCCCTAAGATCTTGACAAACAAAAGAAAAACAAACCTTCTTTTCCCAGTCTTTTCTAGAAAAGGGAGAACACTTAGGTGCACCTCGTATTGTTAGGATCCCATATATCCATTTTTCTTCCATCGGGGAGAGAGAAAACATTTGACCCCCAGCCTTAATTTTCTTCTGACGTTCCCATCTTCTAGAATCCCTCAAAACATGTGGTTTGCCAAATCCTGGTGGCAAATACTCGCACTCAGTCGTTCACACAGCTGCCAGCACCGTCTAGTTCCTGCACTTTGTGATTTGAATCCACGCTAACCCTTCCCTCTAAGTGCAGAGGGAAGACCCGTATGTGGTTTTCTTGCGGGCTTCTCAACTTTTGATCCTCAGCTCTGTGATTTTCTTTTAAGATCACAGTGTGACAGTTCCCTGCCACATACCCCGTTCCTCCTACCAATCTGCCTTTGAGATTCATATATAGCCTTTAACACTATGCAACTTTGTACTTTGTGTAGCGGGGGGGAAAGAAACTATTATCTGACACACTGGTGCTATTAATTATTTCAAATTTATATTTTTGTGTGAATGTGTTTTTGTTTATCATGATTATAGAGTAAGGAATTTATGTAAATATACTTGGTCCCATTTCTAGAATGGCACTGTCTGTTCACTTCTTCACCCCATTGTCTCTCTCCCCTGGCACGATGTGTCCGGTACCTCCTCCCCTGCTGTCTGCGATGCTTTGGGCCGCATCTGTTCCCCATCGCTGTGCTCCTGTTTGCGGCATGCCCGTGCTCTAACATTAATAACCCGCTTTCCTCCACGCGCAGCCGCTGCAAAGAGGTACCTCGAACCCTCCTCCATCACAGTAGTTCCAGGGGGTCCTAAACGACAGCCCAGCGTCACCCTTCACGCCCGCTCCCGGGCAGGTGTGCAGGGCTGACAGGACACGGTGGGATGAGGAGGTTTTGCTCAAAGGTATCTCTAACATCAGTGTGGGTCTGGCCAGGAATGAGCTAGAAATGCCCTTTCTCTAGTGGTGTGAGCTGGATGGGTCAGTTTTTTAAGACGTTGCGTGATTACTGAGAGCTCGGGGCATCAGGGACAGCGCTGCAGGTAGAGTGGGACAGGCCGTGGGACTTAGTCCTTCGCTCCCAGCCCCTCTTGCGTTCCAGAGTTGACTGCAAATGTTCGGACTTGGACACCCCTCAGCCTTCACTCTGTCACTTCTCCCGGAGCTTTTCGCCTATCCCAGGAGGCATGGCTCACTCTTGCCAAGTTTTCACATCAGTGTTTCCTAGCTAGTTCCTCTTGTTAAGTGGCCACATCCTAACGGAGACATTTTGGTCAAGGTTGCAGGATGAGGACTGAAGATAGACAGCCAAGGTCGTTTTCCGTCTGGCCCGTGGGTGAGGTTCACTCCAGTAAGTCTGAGGCCACAGTGAAATTTTGTGATTTTTGTTGTCGTTGTTTACTTTTTTTTTTTTTTTTTGGCTTTTCTCCATCTGATATATTTTTAAACAAAATTTTATTTTTAAAATAAAAGTTCTCTAAAAGATGACACCTTAATCACACTCCTGCAATATAGCCATTATTTTATGGTATAGTTCCAGTTATCTGTATTTTACGTAATAAAATCGACAGGGTGACTGCTGCAGAATGCTGGGTGTCACAGGGAACATATACAGCTGTTCCCTAGAATTTTTCCCTCTTAATTCCAACTTTAGCTCTTTTACATGTGCCTTCACTTTAGGTTGTTTGCCTGAATTTCTACAGTCTTGCTCTCCAGGGTGGCAAATAAAATGCAACACTTGGCATTTTTTATGTTAAAAAAAACCACAGTATTTTATTTATAATAAAATCTGAATATTTGTAACCCTTTATATTTGGTGTGGCTTGAGTGTGGTGCTGGGGACAGATGATGTTTTAAAAGGTATGAAGGTAAAGCTAATCATGTCTTTAGGCTATGTTTTTAGAACAATCCAGCGTGTGTGTGTGTGCGCGCGTGTGTGTGTGCGTGTGTGTGTGTGTGTAATTTTTCTTTTACCTGTCTCAGATTGGATACTTGTATAGTCTATAGAGGTTGGCAACCTTGTTTTTATAAAGAGCTGGATAGCGAATATTTTAGGCTTGCAACCATAATTCTCTGTTACAGCTACTCAGCTATTTGAGGATGCAAACAGCCATGGACAGAATGTAAACAATTGTGTGT